AGGTGGATTTGCAGTATTTGATTTGAAGCTGAGCCACCTGAGGAATTGTCCCTGTGTGGCTTATGTAACCAAGGACAGGACTTGTCCAGAGTCAGTCAAGTAGGGCTCTGTTTCTAGATAGGAGCCCCACTGGCGCTAGCTCTGAGGAGCAGGAGACAACTGGGACAGAGACAAAGGGAAGACTATTTTACAACTAACCAAACCTACCAATGAGGAAATTTATTTCAGTATTGAAAAATATTATTTCAGTCATTAAATAAGATCACAACAGGTTAGCTTTCTTTTTTTTTTTTAAAAAAAAAGCAATGTTTCTCGCCTGAATGTAAGACAGGTTCATAAAATGTTATTTACTATCAAGTATTACTCAATTTATATATAACCACACTTTTTTGCATCAATTATTGCATCAATGTTTAACTCAAACTGTATGTATTACTAACAGGCTTCTTTCTGGAAATGTGTCACACAGAGTATTCGCTAACATGGCTTTAGGTCATTTTGAATAACACTCGCCTACATGAACTCAAGAATGCCAATTTTAGTATGTTGCTCAAATTTCTAACTTCACTTATCACAAGAGATGGCATATTTATGATAGTGAAGTAAAAACATGTCAAGTCTGCAAGAATAATATATAACTGCAGGAAAAATACACATAAACCTTTATAATACCTTATTAACATTTTATCAAATCCATATCTAGTGAATACCATGCAGTGTATAGGTTTAAAAAAACTAACACAGTTTTTAGAAGTTGTTCACACAATTACACACATAATAGAGTTTAAAATAGTTTTATTAGTAAATTAATTTATATTTCAATTTGAAATTCAATTTGATTTCAGATGATCGATAGAAATATTTACCAAGCATTTAAATACATATCAAAATTTACATATTAACTGCTGTTATTGTATAATTTTGATATTATTAAGATATCATTTCTTCTGCATGATAAAATTAAAAATGCCCTTCCCAACACTAACCTAGAATGTTATCAATATGGGTAGCCTTTATTTCTACATACATCCTCTGTCAATTGTCACTTACTGATGCTACCTGCAGGTCCAGTGAACTTCTTTCTGGAAGTAGATTATTTTTCAGACAGCCTTATCCCAGCAAATGCATTATCATCTCCCGAGTTGCTTATGCCAGAAACCTGAGAGTCATTCTTGATGACCTTTTCTCCTTTTCACTTGGCGTTCAATAAATCACCAAGTTCTGCCAGCTCTACCTCCAAAAAATATACTTACATCTCCTCACTTTTCTGTATTCCTCTGGTCTGTCTGCCTTATTCCAACATCTCTTCTTTACTACCCATGCCTGAAGTTGCTATTGGCTGCAATAAGAAATGTGAATAGGACTCTCCAGTGTCAATTGGCCAATAAATACTTATGGACCAAAAGGAGTTTTAAACGTGTTTCCAGGTAACTTATCTCTCTCAA